CTTTTTTAAAAATATATTTTTATTGATTTCAGAGAGGAAAGGAGAGGGAGAGAGAGGTAGAAACATCAGTGAGGAGAGAGGAGAATCATTGGTCAGCTGCCTCCTGTATGCCCCACACTGGGGATCGAGCCTGCAACTGGGGCATATGCCCTGACTGGGAATAGAACCAGTGACCTCCTGGTTCATAGGTTGAGCGTCATAGGTAGACACTCAACCACTAAGCCACGCCGGCCGGGCTGTTGGTTGCTTCTTGTATGTGCCCCTGATCGGAGATCGAACCCGCAACCTTGGCATATTGGGACGGCGCTCCAACCAATGAGCTACCCGGCCAGGACACTATCACACTTTTCAGGCTGTTAAAAAGGTTTCCAAAATGGTCTTGGATGAGGATTTATACCAAAACTGTGAAGAGAATTTTAGACACCATGGCTGAGCGGTGGATAGGGATGGGGGTGGAGGGGAGGTTTCCCCCGAGAAGGAGCTGGCTCGGATTAGGGAACAGAGGGTATAAGACTCCAGGGCTCTGGGTGGAGAAGCAGCCACGGAGGGGCCTGTAGGGAGGAACACAGACACCAGGGTTATGGGACATTTTGTGAAACAGCTGAAGGAACTGGCATGAGATAAAGACGGCCCCGGTTCCTCCTGGATGCGCTGAACGGGGCAGGGAGAAGATGAGCCTGGCTCTGGCTTCCCCCCGGAAGTGCTGTGTGACCTCCGGCAAAGCTTGTGCCCTCTCTGGGCCCGTTTTCACATTTGAACCATGGAAGGGGTTGAACGAGACCACTGGTTCTTTTTTAAAAATGTTTTTAAAAAGTATGTTTTTATTGATTTCAGAGAGCAGGAGAGGGAGAGAGAGAAATATCCATGAGAGAGAATCATTGAGCAGCTGCCTCCTGCAGGCCCCCTCCTGGGGATCAAGCCTGAAACCCGGGCATGTGCCCTGTCTGGCAATCGAATGATGACCTCCTGGTTCATCGGCCAACACTCATCACTGAACCACACCGGCCGGGGCTTTGTTGTCGTTAATCCTCACCTGAGTATATTCTTTCCGTTGATCTTTAGAGAGAGTAGAAGGAAGGGAGAGGGAGGCCGGGAGGGAGAGAAACATCAATGTGAGAGAGACACATCAATTGGTTGCCTTCCGCATATGCCCCAACTGGGGCTGGGCATCGAATCTGCAACCCAAGTACGTGCCCTTGACCGGGAATCGAGCCCAAGACCCTTTGGTGCACAGGCCAACGCTCTAACCACTAGGCAACACTGGCCAGGGCTCGACCAATCGTTTTTGGCCCTTCATACCTAATGCTCCTTTTTCATAACAATTTGTTATATGCCCTTTATCCTGCTGATGGGAAATTCTTAGGTAGGAAGAGAGAGGTCTTCTAACCTCAGAGTTTAGTTCGTGGGCTCTGGAGCCAGAGGGCTGGGTTCAAATCCCACCTCTGCTGCTTCTTAGCTGTGTAACTAACTTTGGGCAAGTCCCTTACGTGCTCTGTGCCTCGGTTTCCCCACCTGTAATCCGGGGCCATCTTGGTGCTAGCTTTACAGGTCTGCGGGCTTAGAATAGTCAGCCAGGGACAGAGAGAACAGCTCATGAGTGACCTTGAACTTGCCTCTGCTGTTGGCTTCCCCACGTCAGCGTAACCCCTGACCTATGACATAAAGGAAAGTAACCTTTTATAGAACAGTGTGCGTTCCCACATGCCAATGCTTCCGCATGACTACCTAACCGTCATGACGAGGGAGCCCCATGCCAACACCTCCTTATAAAGAACAAGCCCTAGCCGGTGTGGCTCAGTGGATAGCGTGCCGGCCTGCGGACTGAAGGGTCCCAAGGGCTCATGCCCCAGTTGTGGGCTCGATCCCCAGTGTGGGCTGTGCAGGAGGCAGCCGATCCATGGTTCTCTGTCATCATTGAGGTTTCTATCTCTCGCTCTCCCTCTCCCTTCCTCTCTGAAATCAATAAAAATATCTTTAAAAAAAGAGAAGAAAAGAAAAGACCAGAGACCATTCCATGCAAGGATTTAAACAGGGGAGCAGGTCGCCACGAGGTTAAAAGCGGGCATCTTTAGTGCATATGAAACACCCAGGAGCAGGCCTCGTACGTACAGTCAGAGTGGAGTTCTGCCCTCCATTATTATAAGCAGGCTTTTCACTGACATGAATGTCCAGTGGGAGGTTCCGAAACGAAGTGGGCAGGACGTGTATTGTGGGGGGCTGTCCCATGCGTCTCTGATGTCAGCAGGCTGGAACTCCCCAATCATGTGCACCCATCGGCACCCCTGGAGTTCTGATCCCCCGCTGGGGGGCGTGCCTGTCCACCGGGACCTGAGGTGTCTCACTCCCCTCCCACCGTGGGCGAGTGCACACGCCCTCACTGAGGGTGCCCTACAGGGGAGACGGGACCTGCTAGGGCAGTGGTTCTCAACCTGTGGGCCGCGACCCCTTTGGGGATCAAACGACCCTTTCACAGGGGTAGCCTAAGACCATCGGAAAACCCACATATAATGACATATTGTTTTTGTGATTCATCACTAGGCTTTAATTATGTTCAATTTGTCACAATGAAAAGGCATCCTGCATATCAGATATTTACATGACAATTCATCACAGTAGCAACATGACAGTGATGAAGTAGCAACGGAAATAATGCTATGATTGGGGGCCACCACAACATGAGGAACTGTATGAAAGGGTCGCGGCATCAGGAAGGTTGAGAACCACTGTGCTAGGGTCTCCTTTAACTTCCCTGCAGGGAGCAAAGCCAATCGTAGGGGCTGGAGACTGTCCTCTGACGGAGAGAGAATCCCCTGCAACATACACGCTGGCCAGTCCGGTGCCCAGGAGGCGGGGGCTCGTTTTACAGCTTCTTGTCACAAACCCATCTGGTGGCTTTTGTGCGGTTTCACTATTTCCAATTCCTGCCTTTTCCCTGAGCCATCAGTAAACACAGTGAGATCTCCAGAGATATTTCCCCGACCAGACTCATTGTTAAGATACCTCTGGGGACAGCAAATAGTAAATCCTTTTTACTCTTTTCTTCTTTATCTTTTTTGTGTTTGTTTTTTGTTCATCCTCACCCAAGTATATTTTTTTTCCATTGATTTTTAGAGAGAGTGGAAGGGAGGGGGAGAGACAGAGAGAGAAACATGGATGGGAGAGAGACATATCAACCGGTTGCCTTCTGCGTACA